CCAGAGGGCCAGCAAGGGGCACCGCACAGGCAGTGAGAGCAGGTCCCACGGAGAGGCAGAGGGCCCAAAGGAAGAGGGTCTGATGTTACACACTGATGGCAAGCGCTGGCCACTCAACCCTTCTTCCAGTTCCACATCTCCCACAGAGAACTGCGCATGCTTTGGTGTCGCCTGTTTCCATCAACAGCCTTGCCAAGGTGTGGGTGGCCAGAAAGGTGGGGAGTGGTGGGCTTGCCTTGGTTCCTTACAGTTAAGTGCAGATCTGAATGCTGGTCCCCATACTCAATGGCTGGTGTCCGGTGGCTGGATACTGGAGAAATCCGTTACGGACCTGGGAAGCACACCAGCACAGAAAGCTACTCCTGAGGCAAAAGGATGCTGGGGCCAGGAATCCCTTACGCACATGCTCCCCGGCTGCCCCATTACCCTATCAATTACAGATATGAGAAGACGGGACAAGCACTCTGTCATCGGCAGCTCCTAACGTTTCTGTTTGCTCTGCAATTTCCAAGTCAACAGGCTTGGCCCAGAATTATAAAAACATCTGATGCTCATTCCCAGTGCTTACAGTTACAGAACAACTTGATAAATATTAACCCAGCTCTTGTATGGCCTTTTGAAAACCACATAAGTGTCTTTTATCAAATACTACTGACACGGAAGCAAAAAGGTACCGCGAAGCCAAGAACAGCCCTTCCCCTTCGTGTCTCTGGACACATCTGCTAAAAATAACCTCGAAAGGTCCACAGGCGGCGGCTCCCAATTCCGGCCTCAGTTATCACAACGGGCTGGTCCGAAAGAGAAAGTTTTAACACCGCCAGTTAAAGCCACAAATTAAATCTTGCATCAAAGCCGGCGGCGCAAGGAAGCCGTTCTTTACAAGGGAAAAGTTAAGCTGGCCCAGGAGGCAAAACAAATGCTGAGAAGTTACCACAGCACTATTCATCCAGCAGAATGCAGTAAATGATTCGGAGAAAGGAGTGCGGGCCACCAAAACAAGAAAGCAGCCCCCCGGAAGAGAAATTGGAGGAGGAGGAGGGAAGGCTGCGGGCTAAGGGGCAGAGGGACTGGGGGAAGTGGGGCTGTCCAGCGGGGGGCAAGAGAAAGTTCCGAGAGGGCGGTTTCCAGGAAGTCGAACTAAAACTGGGCACGCCTGTCTGAAAACAGCAGCCCAGCAGAGGCAGGCCCAGAGGCCTGCAGGATCAGACGGGGCAAAGGAGCAGAAGCTGGGCAGGGGTCTCTGGGGGAAGCGAAGAGGAGCTGCAGAGACGGGGGCTGCCGAAGTACTGTGTGGGGCAGGGAGGAAGAGGGTCTGAGAACTCAGGGAGGGCTTCAGGCTGAGTGAGCAAGGGAGCGGGCACTGGGCAAGGCAAGGGGAGCGGCATCGGAGCTGAAAGCCGGGCTAAGCAAGACCTGGCCGTCCCAGCCCTGCCCTGGTGCCCCGCAGGTGCGCTGGACTACAACTCCCATCGCCCCATTATGAGAGAAGACACGGCCTAGCACACCTGCGGGGCACCAGGGTGGAGTAGCAGAGAGGCTGGAAAAATCATGGGAGGAAACCAGGGCAGGGAGTTGGGGACCCAGCACCTTCCGACTACAACTCCCATCATCTCTGACTACTGGGCATACTAAGAGGGCCTGATGGGCGCTGTAGTCCCGGGATCCTGCAAGGCGAGCTAGAGGAGACCCCCGTCTTCTAAAGAGGTGGAGCAAAAGAGGGTCGTGTGGGCGGGGCCGTCAGGAGTATTAAAAGAGGGCGGAGCGCTAGCGAACCCCCCCGAAGCTCAGGGGGCGGGTCAGAGAGACCTGGGGGGCCGGATGCGGCGGGCGCGAGGCCCCCTGACCCTTCGGAGGGGGCGGGGCGCCGGGTGGGGCGCGCCTGGCGCGGGCGAGGGTCGGAGAGGGGCGGGGCGAGCGCGCGAGAAACTTCTGCGGGGGGGGCGCCCCAGCCTCTTACCTCAGTCGCCGTCGTCCGCCGCCGCCGCCGCCATCCCGAGGCGCCTCGCAGGGCCGCGGGCCCTGAGCGGGGAGACCAGGCTCCCCCGGAGGGAGGGAGGGGAGGGGAGGGGAGGGGAGGGGCGGAGCCGCAGCTCGCCCGCCCGCCCCCGCTCGGCGACGGCTCCTGCCGAGGGGGAAGGAGCTGCGGAGGGAGCGGCTCAGTCAGTCCGCCGGGACGCGGAGCGCCGCCGCACCGGTCCGCCTGCGCGCGCGTCCCCCCCTCTCTCCAGAGCGCTCTCCGCGGCGCGCGCGCCTCGCTCCCTCTGCGCGTGTGCGCCACCCCGGAGCGTCCCGCCGCGTCCCGCCCTCGGCCGGGAACTGCATGCGCCAGCCCCATTTTCCACCCGGAGGCGCTTCGGGTGCGGACGCGGCGCTCGGAGGCCGCCTCTTCCTCCTCGCTGAGCGTCGCCGTCGTGACGGGAGAGCCAATCCTCGCACTCGCACCCACGGGAGGCCCCGCCCCCGAGGCAGGCGCGCGCGCGCCCCCGCCACGCCCACCCAGGCTGGTGCCCGGGCGGACCCGCAGGAGCGGCCGGTCCCCCCGTTTTCTTGGGGGTCCCTCGTTCATGGGGCGCCCTGCAAGAGGCCGCGGTTTGCAGCAGGACCGCCATCCGCACGCGGAGAAGCGAGCGCGTGTCTGCAAGCAGAATCGGAGGCAGCGTGTCTGTGCACAGCAGTTGCTGGGGAACATGGACATGAGAGTGCTGTTGCAGTCACATCCTGCCTGTGAGAACCTGGTGGTAGCTAATTGGACACTAGGAGCAGAAAGCTGGGCTAGGTGGACCCTGGCCTGATTTGGAAAGGTTCTTAAAATCTAGCAACATACTCATTTTTAAAAATACAGTAAGGGCACAATCTCATGGTGGGCATGTCGTGAGCGGAGCCGGCTGGTGCCGGAGGTCAGACTAGATGGCCCGGGAGGCCCCTATGTTCTAAAACATAGAAACTCGCTCTGTTTCTATGTTTATTATTATTATTACTATTATTAGAACATTTCTATGCCGCCCCTTGCCGAAGCCTCGGGGTGGCTTACAACACAATAAAATATAATACAATACAAAAATAATAATATAAAATTAAAATTAACAATATAAAATATAAAATAAATAAAAAAATATAAACGATATAAAAGGGGTTAGAAAAGTTAGAAAAGAAAAGAAAAGAAGTCGCCCTGGCAGGTTTAGACAAGAAAGCAGGTTTAGACAAGAAAGCTCCCAGCATGCCCCAGCCAGAAGAAAGATCTCGTAACTCCCAGTATTCCCCAGTTTACACAGAATTGTGCCTGAACAGATTAAAAATCACACACATATATACTGTTGAAGAGCACGGGATGAAAACCCCTGGCTTATCAGAAGGGACAGACCTTGGCTCAGTGACAGACCCGCAGCATTGTTTTTGGATGGTCCCAAGTTTAGTCTCCACCAGAATCTCCAAGTGGGGCAGGAGAAAGGCCTGCCTGCAACCCCAGAGGCCCTTGCTGCCAGCCGGTGCCAACAAGGCTGAGCTAGATGGACCAAGGGTCCAATCTGGGATAAGGGAACTTCGACATTCCTGTGTTGTTGGGTTAGCAGCTCCTGCCAACCTCAGGCAGCATGGGCAATGATTGGGTGATGGGAGTTGTGGTCTAACAACATCTGGAGGTGCCACAGATTTCCTGTCATGTTCTATACTGTAGAGAGAGAGAAATGGAATGCCACATTTACATGTGTGCGTGCACATACAAATAGGGGGAGGCTCGGATGGGGAGCTGCACTTGGTCCATGAAACCCTGTGTCAATGTTTAAATTCACTGCAACCCTATACCTGTTCAACTTTGAAGTATGCTCAAATGCTTTCAATATGTTTTACTTCCAGGCATATGTGCTGGTAGCTTCAATCATAGACCTAAACAGGAGGGAGAAAGTCCCATTGAACTACATGGGGGTGGATACCCATAGGATATGCACAGCTGGTCTTTAAAACACTGCAAGACAGTTGCCTTTGTTGCAGCAGCCTAACACAACGGCTCGCCGGGAAGTTTTTGGTGCCAAGCAACACAGAGGTTTTCTTGTTTCACCCTTTCCCTGTTAGCATAATTTTCATGGGTTGCTAAAATAACAAAGAGAAAGTTATACTCTTATTTAGATTGTATAGGTGTCCTTTTAATGCCAAGGAACAAGTTGCAAGCTGGCTATTTAGAGAAAAGGTAGAAAGAGAAATGTATAGAAACACATGTGTGCTTTGTTTTAAATATTTAACTATTTTGAATAATGAATATGTGCTTTTGTCTCGGAAGCCTCATTTCTAGGAATAAACTGTTAGGCTAAGTCTGTGCTGGCAGGACTGTTAAATTTAATTACCTGTTCATTAAAGAAATGTGATTTAGAAATATCTTAGCTGGCATATAGTTGAACTTTTCAGTTGTATTATTTTTAGCTTTTCTGCTGTTTAGTTGCAAAACCACCACAAAAATGCACGATACTTTATAATAGTCAAGCTGCCTCTTCAAACTACTTGTTTAAACAGTTGGAATCTGCCTCCCCCACCCCCACCGAAGGTCACGACTACTGTTGATTAAGGCAAATATATTGAACATATTTCCATTTGGAAGAGGCCCCTCTACCCATTTTACAGTGCACCAGAGAACTGGAAATACTTAAATTCTACTCTAGAACTACTTGCCCGTTAAAAGTACATTTTTGGCATTTCTTCAAAGCCAGGCCATTCTGCCGGAATTGTCTAGCAGTCATGGGCTATGCAAGGGGCTGTTTGGTACAAATGTACAGCCGGCCCATATTTCTAGATTTTGTCATACTTAGAAGAAGCCCACTGAAATCAATGGGATTGATTTCAGTGGGTCTCCTCTAAGTACAACTAAGTGGATCCAGCCCTATGCTCTGAGTCAGTTAACAATACTAAAAGATCTTTCATGTAGAATACACGGGGAAATGTAAGTTATAAACATAGATGCACAGCCAAATTACTCCCAGAAACTAAAAACATTCTGAAATAAAAAGGCTTACGTTGCTTCCTGAAAAGACCCAGGCCCAAACTTTGGTGGATCTCCAGAGAGAATACTCCAAAATTGATCCCAGACCGGTTTTGTTTTGTCTGAATCTTGGGCGCGTTCCAAGAGGAAGTCCTCAACAGATCATCAGGGTTGTGGTGGAACACAGTGGAGGATGTGGCTTTGGCCGCTATTATCTCCCCTCTCTGGCTTGGAAGGCTGACTTCCAACCACAGCAGTGAAATCATAGAAAGTACTTGTCACCGACAACAACAGCTCAGAAGCACAGCCCGCAAGGAACAATGAGCCCGTGGGCAGCGCTCTCGCTCCTGGGGGCCCCGAGTGAGGAGACGGACGCCACGTCCTGTTCGTCCAAGGACGGCCGAGTGCCTTGCATTCTCCCGGTCGTGGGCTGCCAGCAGCGCTGACGGACAAAGCATGTGGAATATGCACGGGGTCAGCTCATGGCCCTTGTGTTATCTCTCCGAAAGACAGGGAGGATGGGTCTCCGCAGGAGAACAATTTCCAGAGGGACTGCCTTGCCAGTCCATTAGAGCAGAACCAGTAAAGTGTCTTTGGTCACATTAAAGGCAAGCTAGTAAGTAGAAGCGCTATAAAGTACCTCAGAGGTACAAAGAGGAGGGTCAAGAGCTCTTCTTGCTGATGCGAGTGCAGCACACGGAATAATCGGCTCCAGTTGCGACAACCCAGATTCAGGCTGGGCATCAGGAAAAGCTTCCTCGCTGTCACAGCAATATGGCAGTGGGACCAGCTGCCTGGAGAGGTGGGGGGCTCCCCACACTGGAGACATTCAACAGAAACTGGGCAGCCACCTGAGTGGGAGGGTGTGAACTGGTGTCCTGCAACAGCAGGGGGTGGACTAGGTGGCCTTCCTGGCCCCTTCCAGCTCTACTTTTCTACGATTCTATGATGATTCATTCTGGCAGGAGCTTTCGCGGGTAATGTTCATTCATCGGAAAACCATGGCGCCTGCTGCTCACCATGGATGTGGCTTGATCAAGCACCTGCCAGACAAACCCTGGGGTAGGGCAGCAGACCACAAGGTTAGATAAATCAGGACCCAGGTGCCCCTGCCATGCTAACATCCTGTGCCGATCATTGTTGTGTATTCTCATTTGCTTTTAATTGCATATTGCTTTTGTCCTGTAATAAAACCCTCTTTTGTCTACAGATGATTGTTGTCTTCAACTCCTTCAGCATAACAGGAGGTCTGGGAGACTCCCAGGTGGTTGTGGCATTTCAGCTGCCCCCACAGCTCATGAGATACTGAGCCTGGGATGGTGCAGCTGGTGACCTGCACTGGCCGTGGGTTGGCCCCGGTAGCCTTCTTGGCCCCTTCCAGCCCCACTATCCTGTGATGCCTGGGGGCAGGGGGTGTCAGTGGCTGTGGGGGAGGGCAGTCCAGAGCTCGGTGCCACGAGCGGCTCAGGCTGTGTGAAGTTCAGAGGACGGATGTGTCAGTCGCCGTGTGCTCGCACGCTCCTGCGACATCCACAGGTGTGCTGCTTTTCACCTTTGGGGTGCCGCTTTTGTTCACCTGACGCCCGAGCCGGACTGGCCCTCCCTGGGCAAGGCGCTCCCTGTCTCCCTTGCTCCCCTGCGCTGTCCACTGCGACCCATCGCCCTGGGCTTGGCCCAGCATTGTCTTGCTGGGCATCTTCTGTCCCACTCCCTGCGCTCACTCCCGTCTTCATCTTCTCCATTTTGACATACGCCAGGCAGAGCAGCAAGGGCGTTGATCTGAGGCTTGTGTGCAAAATCTGGTCCGGCTGGCTGATAAAAGGATGTTTTAAAACGTGTTGTCTCCCCGCCCGCCCCCCCGCCCGTGACACAGTCTGGCATCTCTGGGGTTGCCTAAGTGACCGTGCTCCCTTCCACCAGCCATCAATTAGTTGGTGGTGCCCTGGCTTTTCCATGGTTCCTCCACCCCAGAAGGCCGGGAGTCCTCCCAAAAGGCTTTGCGACTGGCAGCCAGCGCCTGAAGCTGCAGGGAGGCATGTGGCCCTCCGATCCCAGCCCTCCCGAGCGTCTCCAGAACTGAGCTTGGCCTCAGCCCATCGGGTTGGACACCTGTGGATGAGACTGTTGCTTCCGGAGGCCTGTAGGTCAACCTGGCACCTTGGACCGAAGCAGGGATCTATTTTGCAATGCCCCAAATGAGTCAAGCGCCCCAGGAACTTGCATGTGAGGGGAGGTCAGTAGTATCCCAAGGGCTACTGGCGACGCTCTGGCTGCGCAATCACGTGTTTGCCGAAAGCGGCAGGCAGGCCTAGGAGCGCTTTTTCGATTCCGTTTGGGGCAGCCTTCCCAAGCTGGTGCTCTCCGGAAGTGCTGGGCTGCACTTCCGGTTTCGGGGAGGGCCGGCCAGCGTGGGTCTCTTGGCCTCTCTGAGGAAGTGGCTTGCTTCTGAAATGGGGGCTCGCGCTTTGCCTGTTGGCTGTGCCCTGGCGCCGTCCCGGTTCCCGCAGGCAGACAAGGAAGTGAAGGGTTGCCACGCGCACTCACGGCACAAAAAGAGCCTGTATTTTAGCCTGCTCGGGAGCCTCCTGGCCCTGGTGCTGAGCAACAGGGCCTTGTCCCCGAGCTGAACCTTGGGGTTCCCTGCCTGACCGTGAATCCGGGCACTCTGAACTGGCCCTTGCCATTCCCTGAATCAGAGTTGTAGGCCAACACCTCTGGAAAGCCCCGGATCGGGAACGGCTGCCCTGTGGTCCTGAGGCTGCGGCTCTTCCCCTGGGTCCCGGCTTGCCATCCATTTGGCATCAGCCTCCCCTCAGTGGGAGCAGGAAGCTGGGAGGGGGACAGTCACGTGGCCACTTCAGCTGACCGGTAAAATGAATCGCCCCTTTTGTTCTCGCCCAGCCCTTGTTTATGTCCCAGACAAAAGGGTTGTTTATCATTTCTGGGGACACAGAAAAGTCCAGCAAAGAAAGAAAAGCCTGTGCTATGCAGCCCGGTTCCCCTGTGAGACTGGGTTGAGTTTTGTTTTCTTGGCCCTTTTCCCCTTTCCAACTGCAGCTCCGTGGTTTTGTTTCCATCACGCTGTTTGTGCAAAGGGCGCTGGTGGGGAGCGGCCTCGCGTCCAGCCTTCCTGCTGCAAGCCAAGAGAAGCGAAGTTGTTTACACTCTGCAGGGCCGGGAGGGGCGCCGGAAAAATGCTGGTGTGCACTTGGTGGGACGCGGTTCCAACGGCCGGGAATGGAGGAGGCCCACGTGGGCCCGCCGAAAGTGCGTCTCGAGTCGAACTCCGGCTCCCTGGAGAAGCACCGCTGCCCTTGGCGAGGCTGCCTGGCCTCAGGCGCTGAGGAGCTTGATCAAGCAGGTCGGGTGCCCAAAGAGAGGACGGACGGAGCTGTGGGCCGAGGGAGCAGGACAGGCACATCCTGGAATCTAGCGAGCGTCGCAGCATGCAGAGGCTTGGCAAATGCTGGCGGGGAGGCATAACTTCCACCCAGCGAACTGAAGGAGTTTGCTCTAGCATCTTCTTCCTTGCTATCCAATTTCCTCTGTTGTTGTCGTGAGTCAAGAAGCTGCGCCCGACCCATCGCGACCCCATGGACAACACTCCTCCAGGCCTTCCCGTCCTCCACCATCCCCGGAGTCCACCTAAGCTCACACCCACTGCCCCAGTGACCCCATCCAGCCACCTCCTCCTCTGCCATCCCCTTCTTCTCTTGCCCTCAATCGTTCCCAGCATCAGGCTCTTCTCCAGGGAGTCCTTCCTTCTCATTAGGTGGCCAAAGTATTTGAGTTTCATCTTCAGGATCTGGCCTTCCAAAAAGCAGTCAGGGTTGATCTCCTCTAGGACTGACCAGTTTGATCGCCTTGCGGTCCAAGGGACTCACAGGAGTCTCCTCCAGCACCACAATCCAAAGGCCTCAATCCTTTGGCGCTCGGCCTTCCTTCTGGTCCAGCTTTCACAGCCACACATTGCAACCGGGAAATCCATGGCCTTGACTATACGCACTTTTTCTCTCTCTGCTTCCTAGTACGTTAGACTGGCACAATTCGCGGAATGGCACTTCTGGCAGGCGCCTGCCACCACGCTCCCCATCGTAATCTGTTGCGTCAGACGTGATTGTCTACCCACGGCAGCACAAGCACACACTAGGATGCGCCGCACAGTGAAGGGGGCCTGCGCCCTCCTTGGAATCTGAGCCACCTCCAAGCCAGCGGTGCCTCAGGCGCAGAGGCAACTTCCGTACGCTTGGAAAACCAGACCTGAGTGACTGGCATCGACTCTGCCGTGGCCACCCTGCCTATCTGGTACCCCTGATTCGGCCATGTTAACAACTCGAAAGGAAAACAAATTCAAGACCCCACCTCCCGCCCCCCCGCTAATGCCTTCCCTTTATAAAAGCCGACATCCAACAAATGATCCCCAATTACCATCAACACACAACTCTTGACAAACAATCCCAAGGATGCCTTTTCCTTCGCTTTTTCATAGATTTCCATTACAAACTAACAGAGACGGACATCTCTTTGTTGCTTCCAGCTATGGAAGAGAGGCGCACAGGCATGCAAGCGAAACCCGTCCCTCCTGCACAGGCAGAAGTCTGCCAGGTCCAGTGAGGTGGGGCCGAGTCTGCATTCGCACCATCTTTCTTCTGCGTCCCACAGGCATTTTCTGAGTGCCGTCAACCCAGAATGGTCTGCGCTGGCTGGTAGCCGTTTCTCTGGAGACTCCCAGAGGAGATGACAGGAAGTGAGCCCAGGACCTTTTTCTACCCTGACTTGCGGCCCTTTCCTTCAAGATAGATTCCAGTCCTCATGGTTTTGAATGAAGGATTGATTTGCACGGGCACATGGAAAGCCACCTCCAGCAAGTCAGCGCATCCGGCTCAGTATTTACGCGGACTAGCGTGGTTCTCCAGGACATCAGGCAGAGCGTGTCCCCAGCCCCGGCCGAAGGAGCCGCTGGGGACGGATGGCCATGCAAATCCCCGAGCTGCGGGGTGCGATGCCGCAACGAGAGCTCACCAGGTGCGCATTGTTTATTTTATTCAAAGCATTTTTACCCTGCCCTTCAGCCAAAAAAACCTCCCGGAGCGGCTTACAGAAATGAGAAATAAAGGCCTGTAAGCTGAAAGTTGATACGATACAAAAGAAAAAAGCCATTGGAGGCGTGAGATTCTTGGCCGAGAGGTGCAATCTGAGACATGATGGGCACGATTCGAAGGGGAACGGAGTTCGCCTCTT